CACACTGATGCCTCCAAAATATTGATTGATATTGTTCTCTTCAGCAAGATAGAAGAAAAAAGTCTAATTTCAGCCCTGGCCAGTGTGGCTCAGTGGATAGAGTGTCGGCCTGTGGACCAAAGGGTCCCGGGTTCGATTCCGGTCAAGTGCACAGGCCCAGGCTGCAGGCTTGATCCCCGGTGGGGGCCGTGCAGGAGGAAAGCGATCCATGATCCTCTCTCATCATTGATGTTTCTCTCTCTCGCTCCCTCTCCCTTCCTCTCTGAAATCAATGAAAGTATATATTTTTAAAAAGTCTAATTTCAACTGAAATGCTCAGAACGATACACTTAATTCAAATGACCTATAATACTGCCATTGCCATGAAAATTCTCTCCCTTATAGAATTCTCCAAAATGGAAAATACATACGAAGTTCCTTAGCCAGTAGGGAAATGGGGTGGAGAATTTTCCTGTGAAAGCAAGCTTCACCTCCATGCAAGGCTCTCTAGAAAGCTGGATTGGGGGGAATCCTAGGTCTCCCAGATCTTAGGACTGAATGCTCAGGGTGCCTGCCATGGTAGAGCTGGCCCTGCACGCAGGCCTCCTCGCCCACTGAGCTTCAGGTGAACAGAGAGACAGCACAGAGGGGAGGGGGGTGGGTGGGGAGGATCAGGGGTTGCCGCCCACCTGTTCTTACCGTATGGGAACCCAGCACACTGCAGGGCGGGAGGGCATGCTGGGTAAGGCGTGACCTGTCTGTCACACATGAGCCCTGCTCCCATGAGCCCTGGCCCTGCATGTCAGACTCTCTTTCATCCCCCGTGGGCATCGGGGAAAAGGGAGGGGAGATGCCAGTTTTCCAGAGACCGAAAGAAGATGACAACACTGGATGCTTGGATGTGTGTGAGGAAGACGGCCTGAGCCCTGACTGGCTTAGCTCAGTGGATAGAGCATCGGCCTGCGAACTGAAGGGTCCCAGGTTCGATTCCGGTCAAGGGCGTGTACCTTGGTTGCGGGCACATCCTCCGTAGGGGGCGTGCAGGAGGCAGCTGATCCATGTTTCTCTCTCATTGATGTTTCTAACTCTCCCTCTCCCGTCCTCTCTGAAATCAATACAAATATATTTAAGCCCTGGCTGGTTTGGCTCAGTAGATAGAGCGCCGGCCTGCAGACTGAAGGGTCCTGGGTTTGATTCCGGGCAAGGGCACCTGCCTGGGTTGCGGGCTTGATCCCCAGGGTGGGGCGTGCAGGAGGCAACCAATCAATGATTCTCATCATTGATGTTTCTATCCTTCTCTCCCTCTCCCTTCCTCTCTGAAATCAATTATATATATATATATATATATATATTCTTTTTTCTTTTTAAATGCTACAGCAATGACCCTCAGATCTTAGTGGCTTAACACTGAGTTTACCTTTCACTACATTTCACGTCCAACGCAGGTCAAAAGGTCTGCTCCACACCTTTCAGCAGAAGCATCCAGAACACAGGGCCTGGGGGAGGAAGGGGGGGGGGGGGGGGGCACTGAGAATCCCAGGCCGCCCATCACCTCATCCCACCTGATCTCTTGGGTCAGAATGGGTCACGTGACCCTGCCGCGTCGCCAGGGGACTGGACGGTGAGCTGCCTTATCTCTGCTGTAGGTCCTAGACGCCACGCGCTCACTGTTGCAATGCTGAGACTGGCGTTCCTCGCTGGTGTGATTCTTGCGAGTCTGTTGCCCTCTCTGAACTTGACTCCCCAGAAGGGGGAGAGCCTGGTATTTCTTATGTGCCTGGTCCAGGGCCTGGCACATGGCAGGTGCCCAGTCTGTGGCGTGAACGGCCGGTGGCAGAAAGTAAAGGGAGGATCAGTCCGGGAGTTGCTCTGAGAAGTGAAGCAGGGAGGACCGAGAAAGCAATGCTGTCAAATTCTTAACAATATCTTTTGATTGATTTCAGAGAGGGGGAGAGAGAGAAACATCCATGATGAGAGAGAATCCTGGATCGGCCGCCTCCTGCACGCCCCCCACCGGGGATGGAGCCCGCAACCCGGGCGTGTGCCCTGAGCGGGAATCGAACCGTGACCTCCTGGTTCCCAGGTAGACACTGAGTTACATGGCCGGGCTCAGCATTTTAATGTTGAGTCCTAACTGATTTGGCTGGAAGGATAGAGCGTCGGCCTGCGGACTGAAGGTCCCAGGTTCGATTCCGGTCAAGGGCACACGCCTTCGTGCGGGCTTGGTCCCCAGTGGGGGACGTGCAGGAGGCGGCCAGTGGGTGATTCTCTCTCATTATTGATGTTTCTGTCTCTCTTTCCCTCTCCCTTCTTCTCTGAAGTTAATAAAGATATATTTTAGAAAAATTTTAATGTTCAACCAAACATCACTGAATACAGTGGGGCAGTCTGAGTGACACAGCTCATTGTTGGGGCAGGAGTTCTCCAGCAAGAACAGAACAGGTTGCAAACATAGAAGGAAAGGAAAATAAATAGGACCCTGGGGCATCGGTGGCTTTGCGTGGGGGGGGGGGGGGGGGCAGGAGGGGAATCCCTAAATTCCAATGCAGTTTCACGGAGGGACGGGTTTGACTTCTTCCTCAGGGCGTTTTTGGGCCTAGATAGGACCAAGGTGGGACTCCTGGGCAGCCATGGGAAGAGTTTGGTGTATCAGCTGTTCCCCCCCCCCTCGCCTCCCCCTGCACCGAAATAAGATCAGCTGCCCATTCAAAAAACAGTGTTTTATCAGCCTTGGTTTGCACACCCCAAAGGCTCAGCCAGGGTCTGGACGGTAGCGGAGCAGACTTTGCAAGTCGGTGACTTCGGGCTTTGCATCTGCTGCTCCGGGTTAGCTTATTAACAGCAGGGCTCAGGGTGTTTCAGTTTGGAAGATAAATTGCAAAGTCATCCTCCTTATATGTAACAACTAGGGGCCCGGTGCACAAATTCGTGCACAGGGTGGGGGGGGGTTCCGATCAGGGCGGAGGGAGGTTGCTGGGGGTGGGAGGGGGTTGGGGGAGGGGTCAGGGGAGGTTGGCTGTGAGAGGCACTGGGGCTGGTCTACCTGTGGCTTGGTGGGTTAGGCTTTTATATATATAGATGGCAACTGGCTGAAAGGGTGACTCCAGACCCTAGAAGGGCAGGGAGGAACAAACATGACCGGGGCTGCCCACACCCAGTCAGCGTGTGGGCCCGCTGGTTTCAGGCCCCGGAGGTGGGGCCCTTGGCTGGGCGGAAAGCCCAGGCGCTTCAACCACTTTCTAGAAAACACGGTCTGAGAAGAGGTGGGGTGGGCTCCTCGCCTGGCCGGGCGCCACCCTCCTGACCCCGGGGAAGGCATGCCAGGCACCGAGCAGCAGTTTTCCTAGGAGAAAAGGGGCTTGGCCTCGGTCACCCCATAATGCGGCCGAGCCCCGGAGGTCACGGGAGGGCAAAGTGCACCAGCCAGCCGTGGCGCACGCTGACCGGGCCAGCTCAGAGCCAAGGACTCTGCAGTCAGATCAGAAACCGGGTCCTGGGCGGGAGGGCGGGAGGGAGGGGAGGAGGGAGAGCTCGCGCCCGGGAGAGCGTGCCCCCGGGGAGGGGCACGCAGAGCCCGCGTGCTAGGTGCCCAAGAGACGCAGAGTTCCACGGCGACCCGGTCGCGCTCCTGGGCCTCCGCGTCCGGTGCGCCCCCGCCTCCTCGCCCCGCTCACCCCTCAGATCCCGCCCCGGGAGAGGAGCAGCCACATAAAGGACTGGGGGGGGGGTGGTGCGGGGGAGGGGGCGCTTGGAAAGCCGGACGAGGTCCCGCCAAGCGCGGGGACCGGCCCCCGCAAGTCACAGGGGATGGCACCCGGCCCTCCTCCCGCTGCTCCAGAAAACAGGTCACCGCTGAGACCGGCTCCCAGGGCGGGGACGGCGCGCGGGGCCCCAGCCCGGCCGAGCGCTTACGTAAGGCCAACCGGCGGCGGCGGCGGCGCCCCGACTCCCCCGATCGCGCGCAGCGCAGAGCCCCGGCCCCGCGGCCTCCGTCCCGGCCTCCCTCCCCGGGACAGCGGGGAAGGCCCGGGACCCCCCGGCCGGCCCCGGCCCCGGCGCCGGCCTCCCTCCGAGATGGGCGGTGGCGTCCGCCCGCGGCCGCCCGCTTCCCGGGGGAGGAGCAGCGCATCGCGCAAGCATCCGGCAGCGGCGAGGGGGCGGGGGCAGGCGAGAGGAGGAAGCGGGATTTAAACGAAAGGCGGTGACGCCACACAAAAGCTTTCTATAGGCTCCCGGGAGGCGGCGGCCGAGGCGGCGGCGGGGGCGAGGCCGGCCGGGACCAGGGGAGCCTCCGGCGGCCGGCGATCGGGCGGGCGGCGCGCCCAAGACCGCGCGCTCCGAGGTGCCGAGCGGGGAGGAGGCGGCGTCCCCCCGCGCCTCGCGGCCCCCGCCCTTCCTTCCCGTCTCCCCGGCTCGCTCGGAAGTTGGAGGTTTGGCAAAAAATGGCAGAAGCCGGGGCCCGGGCGGGTGGCCGCCGCACCGCGGGGACCTTGTGAGTTTGGCCACCGCCGCCGCCGGGGACACGCGCGCGCCGAGGACGCCCCGTCCGATGCGCAGGGCCCGCGGAGAGGACGCGCCGGGCATGGACTCGCGCCCACGGTCGCCAGCTGCGGGGCGCGGGGCCGGAGGGCGTGCCGCCCGGGCGCCGGGCCGCGCGCTGTGAGTCGCGAGGCGGGAAGGGCCGCCGGGCGTGGCGTGGCGGGCGGACGGACGAACGGAACGCGAGCGGGCGGCCTCCGTGCTCATCCGTGCAGCTGCCCCCCGACTGACTCGGCCACACCGGCCACACCCTCGGCCCCCGCCGCCGCCGGGCCGCTTCCCGAGACCCGGGGGGACGGGAGATGCGCCGCGGAGGCCGCGCGTCCCCCCAGCGCCAGGCCGGGCCACCGTCGCGGGGACGTGCCGCCGCGCGGGGTCGCGGCTCCCGGAGCCCACGTGCACCGCCGAGCCGCGGAGGCTGACAGCTGAGCCGCCCGGGGCCCGCCGCGCGCCCGTCTCCTCCCCGAGGAAGGGATTTGGATTTCAAAGAAAGGAAGGAAGGAAGGAAGGACAACTCCCAGCTTCCCCTCCCGCCCGCCCGCTCCGGCGGCTGGGCCGGGCCATGCCCAGGAAGGCGGCGGCGGCGGCGGCGGCCCCGGCGAAGGGACTTTCCTGGCAGCCCGGCCCCGAGGAGCGTGCGCTGTGAGTTGGCGGCGCCCGGTTCATGGTTCCTGCACGTCCTCCCGGAGGCCGGAGGCCCAACGCCGCAGCCCCATCCCGCGCCTGGAAGAGCCTCCTGCGTCCCCCAGCCCGTGGGCCCGCCCCGCGCCCCCGCCGCCGCCGGCCCGCGCCCTCCGCCCGCGGCGGTGGATGGCATGATGGTGCGGGGACGGCACCGCGGCCCCGGCCAGCTGAGTCGCGACGGCCGCGCGGGCGGCGGCAGGGACAGCGGCAGCGGCGGCGGTAGCGGGGTCCCCAGCGGCATGCCAGTGCCCCCCGGGCGCCATGGCTAGCGGCAGCGCGGGGAAGCCCAGCGGCGAGGCGGCGGCTTCTCCGGCTCCTACGAGCGGCGCCGTCGGGGGGACCAGCTCACAGCCGCGGAAACGGCTGGTGGCCGTGTGTGACCAGTGCAAGGGCAAGATGCAGCTGGTGGCCGACCTGCTCCTGCTGTCCAGCGAGGCCCGGCCCGTGCTCTTCGACGGCCTGGCCTCCTCCTCTTCCTCCTCCTCTTCCTCCTCCTCCTCCTCCGCTGCCGTCGGTGCCGGCGCCGCCGCAGAGTCCTTCGAGCAGTGCCGGGACACCATCATCGCGCGCACCAAGGGGCTGTCCATCCTCACCCACGACGTGCAGAGCCAGCTGAACATGGGCCGCTTCGGCGAGGCGGGGGACAGCCTGCAGGAGCTGGGCGACCTGGTGGTGTCGCTGACCGAGTGCTCGGCGCACGCGGCCTACCTGGCGGCCGTGGCCACGCCGGGGGCCCAGCCCGCGCAACCGGGGCTGGTGGACCGTTACCGGGTGACGCGCTGCCGGCACGAGGTGGAGCAGGGCTGCGCCACGCTGCGCGCCACACCGCTGGCCGACCTGACCCCGCAGCTGCTGCTCGAGGTGTCGCAGGGCCTGTCGCGCAACCTCAAGTTCCTGACGGACGCGTGCGCCCTGGCCAGCGACCGGTCGCGGGACCGCTTCGCGCGCGAGCAGTTCAAGCTGGGCGTCAAGTGCATGAGCACGAGCGCGTCGGCGCTGCTGGCCTGCGTGCGCGAGGTCAAGGCGGCGCCCAGCGAGCTGGCCCGCGGCCGCTGCGCGCTCTTCTGCGGGCCCCTGGCGCAGGCGGTGGGCGCGCTCGTGGGCTTCGCCACGGAGCCGCAGTTCCTGGGGCGCGCCGCCGCCCTGAGCGCCGAGGGCAAGGCGGTGCAGACGGCCATCCTGGGCGGCGCCATGAGCGTGGTGTCGGCCTGCGTGCTGCTGACCCAGTGCCTCAGGGATCTGGCGCTGCACCCCGAAGGCGGCGCCAAGATGACGGACCACCGGGAGCGGCTGCGGCACTCGGCCTGCGCCGTGGCCGAGGGGTGCGCGCTGCTGTCTCAGGCTTTGAGGGAGAGGTCTTCGCCCAGGACTTTACCGCCAGTGAATTCCAATTCTGTGAATTAGCACCCCCCACCCCCCCCCTCCCCACCCCCTCCCCCCCCTCCCCGCCCCCTGGAATAAAGGAAGATGCTTATCGTCTGCCCCTCTCAATTTATACCAAAGAAATCGTAGGTGAAGCTCCCCCCACACCCCCCCCCACCTTCCCCTCCATGTTAGATGCTCCCGAGGAATCTTCCAGAAGCCAGAGCCGCGCATCTGATTTATTTTTACGCGCACGCACCTGGGGCCCCCCAGAGCCCAGCAGCCCACGCTGCAGGGATGTGGAGATACGGGGAGAGGGGGTGCTGGCTGCCCTGGCAGGGGTCCCCCACCGCACCCCCAGCTCCTCTCCGGGAGTCCTTCACCCAAACCTGATTAGTTCATTGGGCAGGAAGGAGGTCATGAGTTCATTTCTTTTTTTGGTCCTTTTTTTTTTGTTTTGTTTTGTTTCCTGATGAAAAGAAAGGTTACCTCAGTTCGCACTCCTTAGACATGGATGTAGCTATCCCCCCCCCCCCCCTTTTTTTTTATATGTTGTTGATTTTTTTTTTTCTCAGTTGGATGAGGCGTCGACTTGGTGTGGAGAGAGTCTGAGCTCGCCAGGTGATGTGCAAATGTAGGGGGTCGGGGGGAGCTCCTGTGAGCGTGTTTTATTTTTCTGATTGACACTAGAGTGATTCTCCGCCTCCCCTCCAATGTCAAGTTTGTACCTTGCATGTACTGGAGTATTTATTTCATCTATTAAAGTGTTATGTTTCTCAGACGGCTCTGGGCGGTCCTTGTGCGCGGGCGGCCACTGCGAGGTGGCAGGCGCGCTGCTGGGTGCGGGGGACGGAGCAGGCCTCCGGGGAGGGGGCCCCCTGTTCCCCGCCCGCGGCCCTGCCTACCTCTCCCTCCGGCTCCTTCCCCAGCAGCCTTGAACTCGGGGAGGGCAAGTCTCGCCCAGATGTTCTCGGCCTGTCTCTCCGCGATGAGTCCCGGCCGTTCTGTGCAGTCAGCTGTCCCTCAGCTGCGGGCCTGTCGCCTCTTTAATGGGGTCAGGTCTGTTCAGGTCCGGCTACTCACCATTTCAGAAGGTTCTAGATTTTTAAAAAAATAGATAAAGGGTGTCCCAGAATTCACGCAAGAAGTAATTTTGAGAGAAAACACAGGTTTGTAATTAAAAATTGTAGATTTTTTATTGATTCATAAAGAAGACAGTCTAGGGTTATGTGTGGAATAGCACATCGGGTCCATGGCCTCCCCGGCTTTGCTGGCACAGACGCAAAGCCGCGGTCTTCATGGGTCTCCCTTGCCCCTGCTCCTGGGCCATCATTGGTCCTTGGGGATGCTGATCCAATGGAAGGGATTGGCATCCAAGGGCAGCAGATACTAGAATCTGATTCAATCAACCAAGTAAAATTAGGCTTCTGTTTTTGTTAATGCTCACGCAAAATTAAAATCTTGCGTGAATTTTGGGACACCCTTTATATATTTTTAAAATATATTTTTATTGATTTCAGAAAGGAAGGAAGGGGGGAGAGAGAGGTAGAAACATCCATGATGAGAGAGATTCATGCATCGGCCGCCTCCAGCACGCCCCCCCATTGGGGATCGAGCCCACAGCCCGGGCATGTGCCCTTGGCCGGAATCGAACCTGGGACCCTTCAGTCCGCAGGCCGACGCTCTATCCACTGAGCAGCACCGGCCAGGGCTAAAATATATTTTTATTGGTTTCAGAGAAGAAGGGAGAGAGAGAGAGAGAAACACCCATGGTGAGAGAGAATCATGGATCGGCCGCCTCCTGCACGCCCCCCACTGGGGATGGAGCCTACAACCCGGGCCTGTGCCCTTGACCGGAATCGAACCCGGGACCCTTCAGTCCACAGGCTGATGCTTTATCCACCGAGCCACACTGGCCAGGGCAAGGGTTCTAGATTTTTTTTTTAGTGGCGGGACCGGCATTCGGCCAAGTGTTAAGAACTTCCTAGAATCCCAGCGCGATTGCGGGCCAAAGGGTTATGGCTGTGACCTTGATCTTGTACGACAGGCTCTGGTGGGTTGTGTGTTGGAAGAACGCTTTGTTAACTGAAAGTTTGGGGTTACGGGAAGGTAGCTTTCGCTGCTGCAGACGTTTTCAGAAAAAGGACGGGGCGAGGAGCGGGTGGTGTTGCTGAAGCTAGAGACGTTTTGGACAATTTTTATTTTTTTCACGGACGTACAACGGATGCCGTCCAGCTCGCGCTGGGCAGAGAAGCTGCGGCGAGCTTTGCCTTTGCTCAGGTGCCCTATTCCTTGGGGTGGGTTGTGCGGCCTAAAGCCTTGCGGTTCCCACAGATCTGAGAAGGAAGACTTCTCACCGAATATGCGAGGAGGAACGGACAGCCGCATGCACTGAGAGTGGCTGTCTTTATTTTTTTAAAAAGTATATTTATTGATTTTTTTTACAGAGAGGAAGGGAGAGGGATAGAGAGTTAGAAACATCGATGAGAGAGAAACATCGATCAGCTGCCTCCTGCACACTCCCCACCGGGGATGTGCCCGCAACCAAGGTACATGCCCTTGACCGGAATCGAACCCGGGACCCTTTGGTCCACAGGTTGACGCTCTACCCACTGAGCCACACCGGCTAGGGCACTTTTTTCCCTCCTGGTTAAGCAGTAGCTGCTGTTAACATTTACTTGTATTTAAGGTGTTGACTTGTAACATTTCAAAACCTCCCCTGAAGTCTTTCACTTCCCATGGCGGCCTCTTCACCTCTTCCCCCTCTGTCTCTAAGATCAAGTTCAGGGTTCCTTTATTTTATTGATTTTTTTTACAGAGAGGAAGGGAGAGGGATAGAGAGTTAGAAACATCGATGGGAGAGAAACATCGATCAGCTGCCTCCTGCACGCCCCCCACTGGGGATGTGCCCGCAACCCAGGTACATGCCCTTGACCGGAATCGAACCCGGGACCCTTCAGTCCGCAGGCCGACGCTCTATCCACCGAGCCATACCAGCCAGGGTTCCTCCTCCAGCAGGTGACTCGAAGTGAATTCTGCTGGCCTGTTTTCCCAGAAGCGTTCGGGGGACAGCGTGAGGGACCTGTGTGTGGACACAGACACTGCCGATCTCTCCCAGCCCTGTGCCCGCCCTGGCCCGGCTCGGGGCTTGGACACAGGCCTTTGCCAGCGTCACGCTGTCCCACAGCCCCAGGTTGCTCAACTTGTTTGTAAAACAGCCCTGGTCTTTTTTAAAAATATATTTTATTGATTTTTCACAGAGAGGAAGGGAGAGGGATAGAGAGTTAGAAACATCGATGGGAGAGAGACATCGATCAGCTGCCTCCTGCACACCCCCCACTGGGGATGTGCCCGCAACCGAGGTACATGCCCTTGACCGGAATCGAACCCGGGACCCTTTGGTCCACAGGTTGACGCTCTACCCACTGAGCCACACCGGCCAGGGCCACGGCCCTCGTCTTTACAGAGGAGCAGCTCAGACCTACTTCGCTGGGTTTAATAAGGTCAGCGCAGGTAGCTGGGCCCAGGAATAAAATCGCACTGGCCTCATTTATTTTTATTTTAAATGAAACCGCACTAGGGTTCATGTCATTGACATCAATTCGCAGGCTTTTCTGAGGCTCCAGGGCACGTCTCCGTACGCAGGCCCCACGGGCACCGTCCTGACGGGGGATGTGGAAAACCTGCCCTCGGACGGTCACGGGAGCAGGAACCGTCATGGCTCAGCTTGCAGGACAAAGGCCACCACTGCCCTGGCCGGTGTGGCTCAGTGGATAGAGCGTCGGCCTGTGGACTGAAGGGTCCCGGGTTCGATTCCCGGTCAAGGCCACGTGCCCGGGGTTGCAGGCTCCTTTCCTCTGAATATAAAATCAATAAAAATATATGTTAAAAAGAAAAAGCCCTCACTAATGACAGTCACCCCAAGTCAACGGGACCAAGGCTTCCAGACGCAGGGCTTTGCTAGTATTAAGCAGACATGTCTTCCCGGGCTGTTTAAAGCTTGGCCTTTTTAAAAAATATATATTTTTATTGGTTAGAGAGGAAGGAAGAGGGAGAGAGAGAGAGACATCCATGATGAGAGAGAACCATGGACCGGCTGCCTCCCGCACGCCCCCTGCCGGGGATCGAGCCCGCAACCCGGGCGTGTGCCCTTGACCGGGAATCGAACCCGGGACCCTTCAGTCCGCAGGCGGATGCTCTATCCACTGAGCCACACCGGCCAGGGCGTCAGCCCTGCCTTTTTCTATTCATTCTGGGTTGATGTTAGGAAATACAAAAATTACGTGTGTGTGTGTGTGTGTGTGTGTGTGTGTGTGTGTACATGTATGTGTGAGTGAATACATACATATGTTTCTCTCCCTACCTTTATCTTCACCTCCACCCCGGTTTTTTCCCTAATCCAGGCCCATGTTTTGCAGAAACTAGCTGGTTTTACCGTCCTGGGAACATCAGTTTTGTCTGATTGGTTGTTTTATAAACACTTTTTTTTTTTAAAGCTGGCACAGGGATCTCAAATATTTGGCAGTTTTGAAACAGCTAATTTTAACCGAAACACCTGCTTTTGGGAATGACTGTGACTATGGCAACACGCCGTCAGGCAGCGGGTTTGAAAAGCCGCCTGCGCGATGCCCGGGAAAGGCCGGGGGAGGAGGCGGCCCTCCCCTCGCCGCCCTGGGCGCCTGGCCTCCCTGTGGACACAGATACGGCCGATCTCTCCCAGGCAAATTTATTTATTTTTATTTTGTAAAAAGAATATCTTCATTGATTTCAGAGAGGAAGGGAGAGGGAGAGAGAAACAGAAACATCCATGAGGAGAGAGCATCATGGACCGGCCGCCTCCTGCACGCCCCCTACTGGGGATCGAGCCTGCAACCCGGGCCTGTGCCCTTGACCGGGAATCGAACCCGGGACCCTTCAGTCCGCAGGCCGACGCTCTATCCACTGAGCCACACCGGCCAGGGCTGGAGCGCTTGCTTTAGGACAGCGGTTCTCACCCTGTCGGTCGCGACCCCTTTGGCGGTCGAATGACTCTTTCACAGGGGTTGCCTAAGACCATTCTGCATGTCAGATGTT